CCGGGGCATGGGGGTGGGGGGTTGGGGGGTGCTGGGCGCTGCGGGTGGAGCCGGACCTGCCAGGCCGCCCTGCCTCCAGGCACGCAGAACTACAGCGGCCAGAGCGTGTTCAGCGTGGTCCCGGTGGAGGGCGTCATGGAGCCGGGCAGCGTGCAGGGCTTCACCGTGACCTTCAGGCCAGACCATGAGAGCCTGCACTTCTCTGACCGGCTTCAGGTCGTGCTCTTCGAAAAGGTGCGGCTCCAGGAGCCCAGCCTGGACGCCTGGTCCCGGCCCAACCTGCCCGCGTCTGCGTGTCTGAGGCCCTCGCCCTCCCCCGAACGGCCCCACATTGGAGGCCTGTTGCCTGGGGTCTCTGCGTCAGGTTGGGGGTCATGAGGTGAAGAGACCAGAGTCCCGGGTCCCACAGGCCTGCACCCCAGCACTGCCTACTCCCGGAGCCCCATTCGCGGGTCGCGGGCCAAGTCTGCTGTGCTCCTGCCCCCAGAAAATCTCCCACCAGATCCTCCTGAAGGGCTCGGCCCGCGAGCACATGATGTTTGTGGAAGGTGGAGACCCCCTGGACGTGCCTGTGGAGTCCCTGACCGTGATCCCTGCCTTGGACCCCGAGCACACAGAGGGTGAGCCCTCTGAAGCGCCGGGAGCCCCAACAGGGCTGGGCGGCAGTAGGAGGACCGGTCCTGTTCTGACCGCACCCTTGGCCCTGCAGGCCTGCGTGTAGGGCCGGAATTCCCGGCCCATCCCCCAAAGCCGGCTGTCCTCGCCCAGCCCCGCCCACGATCCTTGCCGGACCCAGCTCCCACAATCCCTTGGTGGTGCCCCCCCTGCCCTGAGCCCCCAGCCAGGCCCTCCCTCTCCAGAAGCTGAGGAGCTGAAGCCCATCCTGGTAACCCTGGCCTATGTCCAGTTGGACACGGACACGCCGGCCCCACCTGCCACCCGAGAACTGCAGGTGGGCTGCATCCGGACCACCCAGCTGTCCCCAAAGAAGGTGACCACAGCACTTCCCTGGCCTGCCTGGCACCTCTGCATCTACCACTGCCTGGGCAACCCAGGCCCCTCCTGGCCTTGCCCCCCGATAGGTGTGGGGTGGGCAGCCTGCTGGTCAGGGCTGAGAGGGCAGGTGCTGGGATCCCTCATCCCCAGTCCCACTGCCTCCTGGGAACTGTGCCCGCCCACCTGCTGACAGCACCAATGCCTGCAGACTGTCGAGTTCAGCCTGGACAGCATCGCGTCCCTGCAGCACAAGGGCTTCACCATCGAGCCCTCCAAGGGCTTTGTGGAGCGCGGCCAGACCAAGGCCATCAGCATCTCCTGGATGCCACCCATCGACTTTGATGTAGGTGCCCTGGACGGCGGCCAGGGAGCCTTCGAGAGCCACAGGCTGGGCAGGATGACAGCCCTGCCCCCACCCAGGGAGGGGACTGCGGGGGGTCCCTGGGCGGGTGAGGTGGGCAGCGCCACGGCCAGAAAACATCTGTCCGCTGTGCCAGCTGACCGAGGGTCCCCCTCCTCCCCCGCCTCTCCCCTTCCAGCCGGACCACCCACTCATGGTGTCAGCCCTGCTGCAGCTCAGGGGGGACGTGAAGGAGACCTACAAGGTCCTCTTTGTAGCGCAGGTGGTGACCGGCCCCTGAGGCCACAGGAGTCTCTCCACGGAGCCCCCGCGGATCTTCCTGCCACATTCGAAGCCCTCCCCCAGTCTGTGGACCCAGCCGAGCCACCCAGGGGCCTGGGACCTGGACATCCCTGCTGGGCAGCTTCAAAAGGGTGGCCCCCCGCATGGCCCCATGGCCAGGGCACCCCAGCTCCACAGGCATAGCCACCTCCTGCTGCCCTGTATCCAGTGAGCCCGGGGCCAAGAGCTCTTGTCCCAGCCCCACACTCAGAACCGGCAATGAGGCCAGTCCTGACCACAACCTGCTCCCAGCCTGAGCCCCTTGGAGCCCCCAGCCCCACCAGCACCCGCCCAGCCTTTCAAGGTCCTGGTGCACCCGCCGACCTGTCAATAAACCCTGTGTGAACCTGTGCATCCAGGCCTGCAGTGTGGGCCACGGTGAGCCCTGCGGTGAGCCCTGCGATGAGCTGTGAAGGAGAGATGGGGACAGAGTCCCAGGGGGGCAGCCCCTGCTTCCCACCCTCACTCACAAGTCGGTCCATAGGGCGTGGCGTAGCTTTTTTTACTTTAATTTTTTCATAAGGCCAAAATCCACTAAACAAGAGAGATAGCTTAGCAATTGAAAAAATAATAATATTTCAGTATTTTCTAGTTTAAAGGTCTTCTTTGTTAAAAGACTGAAACTGTCATCTGCAAAGCCGATGCATCAACAATTCCCAGGAAATAAAAATAGAACCTGGGTAATAAAATAAAGTCTAACCTTTTCTTTTCCTTTGTGCTTAGTGCAGTCTCGCTTGTAGGGCACCGCGTACAGAAGCCTCACACGGAGCCCATCAGATATTAGTGAGAAATGGTTACACCGTCACCTCAGTCAGACGTGTGGAGAAGCACCGCACCCGACACTCAATTCAAGATGGCGGCGGGGGGGGGGGGGGGGAGGGCGGCGGGCGGCTTTCGGGGCTGGAGTTGAGACCGGCCCACACCCAGAGAGGCCGGCAGGGAGAAAGTGGGGCGGCAGGCTCTAAAGCCCAGGGGGGCCTCTTAGGCCTCCCTGCTCCTCCCAAGTTCCCGGGTCCCTGTTGCCCCCAGGCAAGGAGCGAGCAAATGTCGGGGACACGCCCTCACAGGACACGCTGTGTCCTCCCTCACAGCCCAGCCCGTGAGTTTGGTTTTCCACTTTTCCAAAGTGCGTCTGGGCTTAGCGTTCTGGGTCCTGACCGGCTCTTCAAGGGAGAAGCCCCCAACTCCCAGCCCATGAGACCCTGTTGGGGGCTCAGAATAGTGCCTGCACCCAGCCCCTGCCTTCTGGACAGTGGCAGGTTAGACACTGTCCCCACAGAGCCCACCCATCCGGGCCCCCTGTGTACACCCCAGCACGCCCAGCACGCCCACGCCACCCCCGTTCCTGCCCCCAGGTGAGCACTCGCAGCCTTCCCTGGCAGGAGTGGAGGCCAAGGTGCATCCGGGGAATTTCCTGGGCACAGGCTTCAGGACACCAGCCTGGAGCCCTCAGCCCACTTCCTCGGTGCCCTTGGTGCCTGGAAGTCTGCCATCTCCCTAACCTTGAGCCAGTGACGGTGTCCACAGAGCAGCATTTTGCAGGACTTCAGTCTGGTGGGCAGACCCAGGTCCTTTCCTAGCCCTCACAGGGGCTGCTTTCTCACTAGGTGAGAAGAGAAGCCAGGGTCCTGCAGCCCAGGCCAGGCCCCAGAAGGAGGTCCTCCCTGCAGAGCACTACCCCTGCCTCCCCCTCAGGCTGGCCCGCAGGAGGGGCAGGCCACTCTCTAAACCCTGGCCTGGCTCTAAGGGTTTAGAACCAGCGGACCCTGGTACTCACTGCCCAAGGCCCTGCCTGCACTCCTGCCTGCTGGCTGGACCAGTGCCCATCCCCCTCCCTCCCACTCCTGAGCCGGGCCTCCGAAGCAGAATGGAGGAAGAGGGTGGGCAGGAGGGGCCCTGGGGGCCATGGTACAGCCTGGAGGTGCTGGACAGCTGCAGGACAGAGATCATGGAGCAGGTACCTGGTAGATCCAGGCATGAGAGAGCCAAGCCGAGGAGGCCCTGCCCTCAAGGAGCTGCAGTCGCTTCCCCTCTAGTGAGGAGACGCTCGTGGAGTACGTCCTGAGCGCAGTAAGAAACGCACGGCAGGGCAGCTTCTCCTCCCACCCTCCCCACACAAGACACACCACCCTGCCCCTTGCCGTGCCGACCACCTCCCTCAGCCTGAGCGCCGGATGGCGAAGCGGGAGGCAGAGGGCAGCGAGCGCCCGCAGCGAGCGTGCACACTAAATGCAGTTGAACAGCGCGCTAGGAACGCCCCAGCGTCTTGACTGCTGCAAACCCTTACCTTGAGCACCGGGGCGTGTGCGAGGCGTGGCCACGCGCGTCCTGGCCGCCACCCTCCGAGGCCACACCCTGTGCAGACCGGGCCACAGCTGTTCAGGGTGCGCCCCGGTCCACCCCAAACCCGACTGCAAGAAGCCAACGGGGCGAAACCGCCCCCCACCCCGCGATTCTAGGCTGAGGAAACACAGAGATGAAGGACCTGATGGGAGGGCCAAGAGGTGGGGCTTGTGGGCGGGGCCCCGGAGCGGGGGAATCTGGGGCCCGCCCAGAGCCTGCGGGGTCGGGGCCGCTAAAGGGCGCGGCTAACCTTGGGCGGAGGGTAGGGGCGAGGCACATGGGCGCGGCTACAGGGCGAGCCCTCCAATGGACGCGGTCTCGGGGGGCGGGGTCTGCGCTGGGAGGGGCCTAGGGGCGGGGCCTCCATAAAGCCTCGAGGCTAGTGGGCTCGCGCTTCCCGTCGGCGCTGAGCATGTTCGCAGGCGCCCTAGGTGACCGCGGGCTCCTGCTGCTGCCGCCGCTCCTGCCGCTGCCGCAGGTGGGTCGCGGGGCGCTCGGTTCGTGCACCGCGGGGCGGGTCTGCGCTCGGCGCGCCCTGGCCCGGGCTCACCCCTGTCCCCACAGGTGGCGCTGGGCTTCGCGGAAGGCAGCTGCGACCCCTCGGATCAGTAAGTGGGGGGAGGGAGGGAGCTGGGGCCTGGCCCCACCCTGGGGGAGACTCGGGCGGGGCGGTCGGCCGATCCCTGCCTCGCCTGCTCCAAGTGCCCCCGTCCCCGCAGGTGCCCGCCCCAGGCCCGCTGGAGCAGCCTGTGGCACGTGGGGTAAGTGGAGGCCGCGGCGCGCAGCCGGGTGCGACGGTTCAACCCCGGGCCAGGCCCACCAGACCCCCACCCCGCCTGGCTCCACGGCCGAGGCGTCGCCAGCACTGTCCCCTTCCTGGGCCGCTGGCAGGAAGGCGCTGGGGCCCTCAGAGCCTGGCATGCTGACCCCAGCCTCCGCCCCCAGCACCAGGGGCGACCTCCTGCGTGGGTCCTGCCTGAGTCCCCCATGGCTAGGGACACCCCCGGGGCCCTTGGCAGGACTTCCCTTGTAGCCTGCTTGCCCACCTCCCACTCCCTCGCTCCCCGCCCCTATGGGAGGTCCCTGTGAACATGGTCATTGGTCTGGGCACAGGACTGTGCAGTCGGTCTGGGACAGCGTGTCCTGGGAGTAAGCCCAAGGCCAGTTGTGGCCAGCCCTGGAGAGACAGCCAGGGCAGGCCAGCAGCAGGAGGCCAGGCCGGGCCGGGAGGAGGTCTCCGGCCTGGAGACAGAGTCCCTGGTTGCCTTTTACCCTATCCATCGCCTTGTCTTGGGCAACCGGGCTGTGACTGCCCCCAGGGAGCAGGCGCCCAGCGGCCAGGGGTCGGTGCAGTGGCAGATCTCGCCACCCCCCCCGCCCCCGCCCAGGCTCCTCCTGCTTGCTGTGCTCCTGCTGCTGCTGTGTGGGGCCACGGCCAGCTGTGTCCGGTTCTGCTGTCTCCGGAAGCGGGCGCACGCCCAGCCACACCTGCCGTCAGCACCTGAGCCCTGCGACCTGACAGCCATCCCCGTGGACAGCGACAGCCCCATGCACAGCACTGTGTCATGTGAGTGCCGGCAGACCTCACCCGGCGGTCCACCTGCCTGCAGGGGCGGCAGGGGACTGGTGAGGGCCAGAGCCACCCGTCGCCACAAACCCATTCTGGTTCCCTGCAGCCTACAGCTCTGTGCAGTACCCGCTGGGCATGCGGCTGCCCCTGCCCTTGGGAGAGCTGGACCTCGACTCTGTGACCCCTCCCGCCTACAGCCTGTATGCCCCTGAGCTGCCGCCCTCCTACGATGAGGCCGTCAAGATGGCTAAAACCAGACAGGAAGAGCCACCCCCCTCCCAGTAGCCCAGCCCCCTCCCTGAGGCCTCATGCCTAGAGACCCCTCCAGGGCCCCAGGAGTGGGGCCGCAATGCCCAACACCCCTGGCTGTAGCCCTGGTGCCCCCCGGAGGGGGCAGGAAAGCTCTCCCGAGCCTCCCGATGCCACCAGCCACTCTGTGCTCACAGGGGACTGTGCAAGGGCACCCCAGCCCACCCTCACCATCCTTCCCCCCCGGGAAAGCCAGCCGTCCGGCACATTGCTGCAGTCCTGGCCTCGTTGCTATGTAACGCTGGGCATCTGAGCCAGCCGGCCCTGTGTGTGCCACACACACACACACACACACACACACACACACACACACACACACACACACACGCTGCTACGTTCAGCCCTGGCCCCTGGCTTAGGCCCATCAGGCCCTCAGCCCAGACGACGCCCCACAGACCTAAGCCTCAGGGCTCAGGGCCTGCTGTGATGTCTACAGCTTTTTGGAGAGACAGAGAATAAAGTTTCTATCTAAGTGATCTCCATATGGAGGAAAGAGCTCCGGGAGGGGCCCTCGAGCAGCCGCCTCCCAGGGCAGGCAGGCAGTGTGAGTACGTGGTCCTCAACCTATGCCCAGCCTGGCCTTCCAGCTGGTGTCCGGAGCCCAGAGCCGGGCTGTAGGCAGTGTCAGGTGTCCCACAGAAGTGATGGCCCAAGTGTGATGGGCAACTCAGGAGAACCCTCTCCATTCTCCAGACCCGCAGCTTTGCAGCCCCTTTTTCCAGCCTTGGGACAGTGAAGCGCGCACGAGTCTGGCTGGAGCGTTTATTGGCCACGGAGCCGGCGTGGGGTGGATGACAGGGTGGGCAGCAGGGTGATGGCAGCAGGCAGCGGGCTTCCCACGGCCGCAGTGGCTGATCCTACTGGACCAGCTTGAAGGACTCCCCAGTCATCATGGCCACGAACTCTGAGCAGAGAGACAAGTCAGCAGCCTGGCCTGACCCAGACGCCGGGCTCCCGGGGCCCATCCCCCACTCACCCTCGTAGTCGATGGTCCCATCCCCGTCCTTGTCGGCTTCCTTCATCATCTGCTCGGCCTCCAGCTCGCTGAGGGGCTCGCCCGCATTCATTAGCACGTACCTGCAGGAGCCTGCACTGAGTGGCAGCCAGGAGGCCCTCCCCGCCGCCCCCCGCACCCGCACCCGGCCCGGGCCCTACTTGAGCGTGTCCCAGTCGATGTAACCCTTGTCCTCCTTGTCGAAGATGCGGAAGGCCGCCCTGAGCTCACTCTCCTGGTTCTGGGCCTTCTCCCAGTACACCCCCATCAGCGCCAGGAAGCTGTCGCAGTTGAAGAACCCTTTCTCTGCAGGGAGCAAGCGGCGGGCGCCCAAGTGAGGGCGGCAAGCCCCTCCGCACTCACACCCCGGTGACCGCCTCCCCCCGCGCTGCCCCTGGCGGCCTCACTGTCTCTGTCCACGTCCTTGGTCATGGAGGCCAGCTCGCTCTTGGTGGGGTTGATGCCCAGCAGACTCATGAGCCGCTCCAGCTCGTCCGTCCTCACCGCCCCGTTGCCCTCCTCATCAAACATCTCAAAGACCCCCTTGTACTCCTTGATCTGCTCCGCTGTCAGGTGCTCCGTCTGTGGGGACACGGGCCCAGGCTCGCCAGGGGCCCCTCCACCCCTCAGTCCGGGGGAGGCTGGAGGCCCCAGACCAGAGCAGGCTTGAGGCCAGGCGGCACAAGGATGGGTCTTGAGGGGAGAGCAGGGCTCCGTGAGGCCGCTCAGAGGGGACAGCGCTCGAGGCAGGGGCAGCCCAGCCACGTGAGAGTGCAGTAGGGCAGCGCTGGACAGCCAGTGAGGCCAGGGGAGGGACACCATGGCCAGTGTGGGGAGGAGCCTGGCCTGGGGGCCAGGGGGAAGGCCCCAGCCTGTCCTGGCATCCCAGAGCGATAGTCCAGGGCCGGGCCACCGCTTTCCGAAAGGGCTGCTCCGGCCTGGGCCCCAGAGCAAGGGCGGCGCCAGTGGCCGGCAGGGCCCGGCCTCGGGCCCCCCACTCCACGCTCTCTGCCCAGCCTCATTGGACGTCTTCCTCAGGTCCCCAGAGACCCTCCCACCTTTGGTCACGGCCCCAGCCTGATCCCCGTGTGCGCAGAGGCCTGCCCGCCGTCCTCTCTCCCCCAGGCACTGCCCAGCTCCTGCTGGACCGCCCAGCCCAGCCCACCAGGGGCTCTGCTGGGCACCGGGAGCAGCCTTACCATGTCTGTGGCCGGCTGAGGGGACACTGCACGGTGGCGCTGGAGCTGCTGTGGGCAGAGTACAAGGGGCAGAGGGGGCGGCTGAGTTTTAGCGGATCCAGCTGACCGGGGTCCCTGGGGTCCAGATTCCAAGAGCCTTTTATGGCCAGGAGATCCTGTCAGCCCTATTTTGGGACAGGTTGGCCCTTCCCCACGTGGCCCTTCCTGGCCTGAGAAGATCCTCACCCCAGAGCTCCCTCTCTGACCCTGGGTCCCAGCCAAGGGCCCCCCGGGCCACGGCAAGGATGGACATCGTGGGCTGGGGCAGGAGAGGGACTGTTGCCTTCTCCCCAGTGAGCCCCTTCCCCCCACCGTGCAACGGGAGGCCCCACGGGCTGTCATCACTTCTTGGTGAGGGTTCTTGTTGACGGCCCTCCCTGGCCAGGTGTCACCCTCACATCCCCGAGGACCCAGGGCCCAGCATGGTGCCAGCACTTTGCAGACACCCTCTAAAGACAGGTTCAATAAACAAATGCGCTGGGGTCCCCCTCTGGCCACCCTGTGCAGAAGGGGCTGGGGGCCCACAGTCCCAGGAGAAGACAGCTGGCTACGAGCTAGGGGCGAGAGGATGCAGAGCAGAGGGGACCAGGGGGCCGGACTGGCCATGGGGAGGCCAAGCCAGGTGTCCTCTGGGCGGTCAGGGGCTATTCTCAGGGAAACCTGACCCCCTTCCGCTCAGAAGAGCAAAGCTGACTCCCGAGGGAGCCCCGTGGCCTGGCTGTTTAGTAACAAGACGCCACAGCAGCACACACACCCCTGCCTATGTGCGCTCAGCCCTCGGACACACACACCCACCGCCACCCCGACCTGGGGCGGCGGCTCTGGCTCCCGACCCCGGGCCCAGGTCGCCATGCTCCTGTCCGGACAGTGACCTGCTGGCCTGGCCACGGCGCTCGGAGGTCTGTGATTACAAGCTGGGGCTGAGGGGGCTCCTCCCATCCCCGCTCCAGCTCCTGCCCCCAGCGATGGTCACAGACAGGCCCCCACTAGTTCCCTTCACCCCCGTGCATGGCCCCCAGGGTCATGCACGCAGACACACATCTGCCTCGGCCCCATGGCCACCTGACGAATCTAGCAGGCGAGGTATGCCCTGTACCCCACCGGCCTGGCCGGCCCTCCGCCTGCCAGAATATGGAAGCCACAGGGACATTTCCTG